CAAAAACCTCTCCCAAAAAAAAAAAAAAAAAAGATTTTGGTATTCAGTAATATTCCTGCAAGTATTCCTGCCCTCCTTTTTAAAAAAAAAAAAAATTATTATTATTTTTTTATTTTAATTTGATCAGAGAGGGACAGAGCGAGAGAGAGAGAAAGTGAGAAAGCAAGCCACCAGGTCTGGGATTCAAACCATGGTCAGCTATATGGGAGTCCAGCAGCCTTAACCACCATGCCACCTGCTGGCCCCAATTCTTGCCCTCCTTTAACACCAATTTCTTCTTCCACTGATTTGATTTTCATCAGCACACAACACGCTTAGTCTCTTCTATCTTAGAGCAGTGAAAAAGATACCTCTCCCCAAACATTTACATATGTGTACCATTTTCCTGATCCTCTATTAAAAAGAACTCATGATAGAGTATGTAAGCATGAGAGGAAAATATCCCCTAGAGGGGATAGCTACACCACAATCCCTTCCCCTTCATTCTCCTCTCCAGATTTTTTTTTTTTTTTCTTTTGGTCCTCTCCAGATTTTTTAAAAGAATTGTTTATTTAATTTCACCTATTATTATTATTATTTTAATTTGCTGTAGGGCACATACACTCACCAGAGAAAGAGAAAGAAAGGACGAAAGTGAGAAAGCAAGCCACAGGGTCTGGGACTCAAACCGCAGCCAGTCATTTGGAGTTTAATGCTTTAACCAGCACGTCACCTGCTGGCCCCACTCCTCAGGAGTGGAGCACTTATGCACACGTTTTTCAATCTACTAGGTCCAGAATTCGAACAGCACGGTTGACCATGTGGAATGCAGCCACCTTAACTACCATGCCAGCAATGGGCCCAATATCTTCTCTTCTAGGCTTCCATGAGATGAGCTTCCTTGGTTGACTCCTCTTTAGCATTCTAGAGAACCCCAGGCTCAGTTTCACCTACCCTCTCCTCCCTCCCCTTTTCTGTCTCTAGTACCTTTGTCATTTTATCCAGTCCCCTGGCGCTAATTACCATTTATATGCTAATTCTCCCTCCAGTGTATATCTGTATTTCCCAATGCACTTATATCTAACTGCCTACCTACACATGTCCTCAACCAGACTTCTCATCTTCCTCCCAGACCCTGCAACCTTCGTATCTCACTAATAATTCCAGAGGCCAGAAGGTGGTATGCTAGCAAAGTCAGATTCTCTGTAAGGCTGGCCTACATGGCAAGATTCTAGGTTCATATCTGGTGACCTCCTAGTACTCTAAACAGAATATGACTGTATCCAGGCTAGCTGAAGCTGGGGGTAGATTTAGCATCTGGACCCTGTCAGGAATCTGTCCCTCTGTGTGTCCCTCTCTTACTTATATTCATGTACCAAATAAACTTAAAAACAAAAAACCACCATCTTCCCAACTGATTACACCTAGCAGTCCTGGCCTAGCCTAGTGGCATAAGCAGAAGGATTCAACTGGGGCCACCTGGGAGGCCCACGTGTGGTTCTCTATCCAACAGGCAAGGCATGGTGGCATGTTTCTGTGGTCCCAGTTCACTGGCAACTTGAAGCAGGTATAACTGTCAAAAATACATCTCTCGGGAACCAGCAGTTAGCGTAATGGCTATGTCGCTGCACTCCCACGTAGTCGACCGCAGTTCACGTCCCGGACCTGGTGGCTTAAAACTCATGCCGGGCGCGTGTGCGGGCGTGCCCACGATCCGGAGAGGAGAATGGAGGAGAAGGGATCGCGGAGTGACCAACCCCCTGGGGGGGGATTTCTCGCTTTCTGTCTCTATGTCTCTCTCTGTCTGTCTGGTGAGCGCACGTGCCCTATAGCAAAAAGCTCTCCAAAAAAAAAAAAATCTCTCAGGGTTGGCAGGTGGCGTGGTGGCTAAGGGCACTGGACTCCCACATGGTTGACCACAGTTCGAGTAACGGACCTGGCAGCTGGCATTCTCACTTTCCCTCTCTCTCTGTGTCCCTCTTTGATCAAATTTAAATAAATAAATAACGTTAAATAGCAGTTTTTATCTCCCATAAACAGAAAATCCATCTCCTCTGCTTTCAAAATGTATCTAGAACCAAAGCACTGCTCATTACCTCCATTTCTCCCTCTTCAATCCAATCCTTCACCACCATCACAACCTCTTGGACTAGTCTCCCTGCCCCATCCGTTCTTCTTTTCACTTTTTGTTCTGTTTTAGTTTGCTAGGATGTGTGTACTTGCAGGGGGGGATGACCAGGCCACAGTCCCTCTTCTATTATCTTCTCAGGATTTGGGGTATGCATGCACACCCACCCAGTGGAGTTTTTCAAGTCACCAGATCCAGGACTGGAACCACACAAGTGGCCATATGGGACCCAGCAGTCCCAACCACCAGGCCACTGACTGCCTCCACCCCCTGCATCCTTTTTTCAACACCACAGAACTCATCAAATCCCAGTGCATCATACTTCTGCCCAGAACCTTCTGATCTCATTCAGAGTAAAAAATGAGCCCTTCTGTGGGCCAACAAGGTCCTATGGGATCTGGACTCATTGCCATTACCAATCTGAAGCTTCTCCTGTCCTCTCTCCCTGCTTCCCCTTCATGGAAACACACTGGTCCCTGCTCTTCTCTACCACCCAGACAAGCTCCGTCTCAGAACCTTGCACCTGTGTCCCCTACCTGAAACACTCTTTACCTTGCCTCCTTCAGTTCTTTGCAAAATGCCTCACTGCCCTCTCCACTCAATTTAAAAGCTCTCTCTATCAGCACTTTCTGTGTGCCCCAACAGGCTTTGTCATCACAGCTATAACAATCATCTGGCCAACTATATATTGTACTTATTGTACACTTACCAAAGTAAGTGCAATGTGGAAAGATTTTTGTTTTGTTCAAGACCGAATCCTTAGCACTTTAAAACCCAGTGTCTGGGACCAGCAGTTGGTGTAATGGCTATATCACTGAACTCCCATGTAGTCGACCGCGCTTCGAGTCTTGGACCTGGTGGCTTAAACTCACACCAGGCACGTGTGCGTGCATGCTCAAGATCCTGAGAGAAGAATGAAGACGGGATTGTAGTGTGGCCATATCCCCTGGGGGATGATTTCTCCCTTTCTGTCTTTCTGTCTCTGTCTTTCTGGCGAGTGCTGGCACCCTATAGCAAAAACCTCTACCAAACAAACAAACAACCCAAATTAGTGTCTGATCTGATGCATACTGGATGCTCAACTGGTATTTGCTAAAATAACTAACTCAACAGTATCATAATACTGCCCAACAGACTCCGCCTCTATAAAGGCCATTCCCCTGCCTCCTAGGGAGTCTCTGGAGCATCCATTCCTGTTCGCTACAATGCTTTTCACAGAGACTGAATAATCTTTTTAAAAAATTGAATTCAGGGGCCAGCAGGTAGCATGGTGGTTAAAGTGCTGGATCCCACATATGCGACGCTACATGCAAGTCCCAGACCTGGCAGCTTAAAAAAACATGCTGGGTGAGTCTGTGTACATGCCCAAAGGAGAATAGAAAAGGGATTGTGGTGTCACCCTCCCCCCAGTGGGTGGGGTGGTTTCTCACTTTCCCTTTCTGTCTCTGGTGAGAGCAAGCACCCTACAGCCAAAAACTAAAACAATAAAATAAACACTGCAAACAGATAATTTCTTTACCCATCTTCTGGTCACACTCAAGTCAAATCCGTGAGTTTAAGCCACCGGGTCCAGGAACTCAAACCACGACTGACTGACAGCCATTACACCAACTGCTGGTCCCTCTCCCTGTTTTTTTTTTTTTTTTTTTAAAGCTTTCTCTAAGGCAAACTGGATCCCACCTGAAGGTCTCTGCGCTGTCTGAAATGTTCATTTCCCCAGCCTTGCACCACCAGGTTTTCTCACCAGTTAAGGGGTGGATTTAAGTGTCACCTCCTCACAAAGGTCTGTGCTCTACTCAATCACTGGCCCTCCACTCATTTTGAATGTCAGCATGGCACTTGTCACCGACTAACTTCTTTTCATTGCTTTTGTCTTTCCACCTGGAATCTAAGCTCCTAGGGAGCAGGGCGCCCTGGCCGGACCTGGGAATGCATTCTCGGTGCCCGGCGTGGCGGCTGTGGGGCTCTCGGTGTGTGCGAAACGAAGACATCTCCCCAGGGCTAGCCGGCAGCCGTCTGCAGGCTCTGCATTCCCTGCCTGTCCGCCTGTCCCTCGGTGGAGAGCACGTCCCCCTCTCCCCGCGCCGCGCCCTCCCTCGCCTACCTGTCGGCCAACTCCAGCACCTCGTGCACACTGCCCGTGCTGACGCGGATGCGCCCGGTGTACATGTATTCGATAACGGCTTCTACCGTGTCGGGTTCGGGCCCCGGCTCGGAGCTCCACTTGCGCATCTCCACCCGGCCGGAGCGGGACTCAGAAAACTGGCCCGACAGCAGGGGCGTGAAGTATTCGGTGGCGGCGGCCAGCACAGAGCGGTGGGCCCGGAACTCGCGGCCTCCGGCACCGCCGAAGCACAAGGTGATGTCGCAGAAGAGGCCCTGGCGCCGCTGCTCGTTCTGCCGCCAGGACAGCTCTGAGCAGTGAGAGCTGCACTCGAAATCCTCGGCCTCTGGGCCCGGATCGCCCCCGCTCGCTTCCATCGCAGAGATCCCCGGCCCAGGCCCGAAGTCCACCGTGCCGCTACCACGGACTTCG